AGAGGCGTAGGTAAGGGAAGGTGTTTGTAAGATGGAGGGGTAGAGAGGGGTAGGGAGGGGTAGGGAGGGGTAGGTAAGGGAGGGTGTTTGTAAGATGGAGGGGTAGAGAGAGGTAGGTAAGGGAGGATGTTTGTACGATGGAGGGGTAGAGAGGGGTAGGGAGGGGTAGGTTAGGGAGGGTTTTTGTAAGATGGCGGAATAGGGAGGGGTAGGTAAGGGAAGGTGTTTGTAATATGGAGGGGTAGGGAGGGGTAGGTAAGGCAGATTGTTTGTAAGATGGAGGGGTAGGTGAGTATATATAATATGAAATACTTTGATTGAGAAGATTTGTGTATTGAAGACTTTTTCTGTCTCTTGGTAATTACAATTCTATAAAAGTTAATATCATTGTGATTCTGTACTTTAACAGTCTACGAACCATCGGCGTTTGTACCCGAGTCAACAAAGTGTATACACATGTCACTTACTGAAATAGTATAAAATACTTCCCGTTAATTTTTCCCAAACTTTGATATTTTTCCTCACATTCTCACTGACATCTATACAGAACATATAAAGGACATTTGTATTGCCTTTTATATCTTAGATTTTGTAGTAAAAATCTATTTACTTTTTCAAAATTTCTTAATTTTTGCGTAAAGGTATGAGTCTTTAACCTTGCTCGTTGGGTTGAAGACGAGGTTTGTGACGTCATTAACAGGAATCGTTTTCATTTACTTATCATGTATATTTATAATTTGTTTTTTATTTATTTGTTCGCTTTTTGTCCGGAGGAAGATTTTGTGTATAAGGAATTTGTTTTATTTACCAATAATCGACTTATTCAACACTTGTAATAGAAGTACAATTGTCACATACAAATTATCCCGAGTAGAAATTGCATGTTTTATTTACAAACAAAGGTGTGAGATAATTGACTTTTTATTTGAACATAGACTCGTTCTCTAGTGTGTCAATATAGTGTACGTACATGACTGACAACAATCGACGTCAAAAACACAGGTGTGATGTTTACAGGTAAAACCTGCAGGCCCCCACCGGACACTTACCCCAGGGGTCGGGCCAGTTGTATCGCTAACGGCCATTACACACCCGGGTATGACAAGAACATGTCATTTGCACCTGTCATTCTTTACCAATTAGCCACCTGAGCACTTTTCCCTAATGACATTTTCTTACCTGTCGCTCCGGTTTGAGTCGAACACGCTGGGTGATCTAGCGGATAGCTGTATTTTATTGTGTACAAAAGGAGAAGTTGTAAACACCATTTTCGTGTATTTTCTCAGATTCTCAGTTTTATATAGAAAGTGATTAAAAACTAGATATCTCCTAAGAAGTCCCAGACAAACGAGAATTGGAATATTGGTATTATCATAATTCCAATTCAATTCAACTTAATTGCACAATTATTACCACTTGTGTAATTCAATGGCGAACATGCACAACACAGAAATAACAAATTCAGGGTTTACAAATATAGAAAAGATCTTTTAACCAAATAATACTAAAAGATATTTTTTTTCAATAGTTCATTAAACAACACGTTTACATTTTATGAAATAAATTACGGAATGCTGAAAGACAAGATTTTTATTAATTTTTCGACTGGATTTTAACTAAATTGACTGGAGGTAGTATCAATCTATCTTTATTACAGATATGTTGGTGCGGTGCCTGTCTATTACAACATACCCGCCACCCCTTTAATACGACATCGCCTGATTGAATAGAAAGACATCCTCACAATTATAAAATATCTAACATATAGGAACGGTATCGTATCACATTTTTCTCGTTACAAAGATATCTGGGTAAATAATGATGTTTCGATAATTATCAATAACAAAAAATCACATAGATAAAATTATTTTCAAAGCAATTCACCTGAAGATTGGACTGTTTTATAAACATTTATCAAATCTTAGAATGTCTGAATTGATATATACAGTAGCTAAATATTTTTATATTTAAGCTCTTCAAGACTTTTTTCCATTTCATTGCACACAGATTTGTTGGAAGCCTTCACTGCTGCCTCACAGTGTTCGTTAGCTTCAATACACGTGCATGACTGAGTGATGCACGTGCATTTGATTAATCGTATCATTTTTCCTCGTGAAAATATGACAGCTGATCCAAAAAGCTTTTAGATAAAATAGAAATAATATTTCTATTTGTTTCACACCAGTTTCAATTAACAAATTGGAGAAAATAAAAATGGTCAAATTATTTGATTTACAATCTTTTAATGGATATCAATACGTATGAACAGAATTTGTAGAAATTTTATATGAAATAAAAATAACTTTTGTATTATTAGGTCTTAGTAAAGCTAGTTATTATTTTTTAATTATATCTTCTGTTTAAAAACACAATAATATTTAACATCTGATAACAAAATATCACAAATATTTGAAACGTTAATACAGAAATTGTTCCGTACTCTTCAATCCTACAGACTTTCTCCTTCCGTGATGTTTCCAGCACGGAAGCTTTTTCTTATAAATTATGCATAGCACAGAAATACACGAAGGCACTTTGCTAATAATTTTCTGGTTACGGAGTTGCACTATATATATTTATGATCTTGCAATTTCACGGAGAGAAAAAAATGGGTTCGCCTCATCAATTAGAATGTCTCTCATCATTTCATAATTAATAGAATATACTGCGAGTCTCTCTTCGATCGTGCTTTCACAGGTGAGGCAGGTACATCTTAGTGCTCATGTATATATAATCCAAAACCCTGGTAATGTTGACATCTGGGTTACAGCTCAACTGAAATCTCACATTTTACAATATGTCAGTTCAGGAAGGAATTTATAATCAACTATGTTCCTGAACCCGTGGCTTAAATCCGCTCTATATTTGGCCGTACGTTTCATAAATGTACATTCTTGAATTTTGAAATGTTTCTAATTTTGGCCTTTGTAAATATGTAATTGAAATATGTGACTGACATCTGTGCACCATACTTAATCCCTTGAATCGTATAAAGACAATCCTGAGTGCTCCCGAGAGACACGGGATCAGACCTCATCAATAATATAGAGAAGTATTCTGAAACCCTGTAAACACTTTTAACAGATATGACTCTACGAAAGAACAAAACATCTTAATGAATAAATAATTATCTGTGCGAATGAAATACCTCGCTATGCAATACAAATCCTGAATGAAGTGTACAATTTATAAACAGAGAAGATGTTAAATAAGTCAGTACTAGCGGTTCCTATCAGACAATACCTTATTGTTACACGTTAACATTGTCTCCGATTCACATATCTATACACACGTATAAATATATGATCATTTTACTCACATTAAAGAATCGCAATTGTTGACAACTTGACTTACTACAAACGCATTTACTATAAAAATGTGTGAAATTTTCTGTAGTAATCAATTTCAGGTCACTTGCCTCGGAACTGCAGTCAGACACAAATCTCCCATTCATTCATGACTATAGTTGTTGATTTCATTCAATCTGAAGCAAGACACAACGTTCCACTGAGGTTACGATTGTATGCATTGTTTCGTTTATACAATGCGATAGATATTATACTCACAAAGCCTATTCTACTACACCTTTATGTCGAGGTAATACGACCAGGTATAGAAAATGTTGATAGCTTATATTGTAACTTAACACCCATTTACTGTTAGAAATGACTTTCTATTGAAATCTACGGCAGTAGTAGCACAATATGTAACGGTTTGTCCCCTCAACTGTCAACCGCATCGCTTACATCATTTTGGCTTAATGAAACAAATGTATAAGATGCTTTGCTAACTCGTTAACTGTTTATATATAAGAGCATTTTAATGCTAAAAGTAAATACAGTCGACTGTTGGGGCAAAGTGAGTTCTAAGTGTCCTGTGTGTGATCTGGAGACCCAATATGTAACCTGTATACATACACGTTGATATTGACCTGTTAAATACACGTGATGAATAGCCATGTATTATGGTGACCGTTCTTATATTAAACGTTTCTTGTTTTTTTAATGTGTTAAAAATTATATCCTTTTATCTGTTTTGATGAAATGACATGTAATTTGCATTTATTTTTATGTTACTTCTGTTTAATAATAACGATTAAGAACACATATATCAATCTTATAAAGTACATTCCGATATATTTAACTTTTCTGCTTCAAAATTTATTCATTGAATCTTACTTTTAAGTAACTTTTTTTGAAAACTTTTCATCCGAGTTGTGTAAATGCTGTGTGTGTCTAGCATAGAGACCTAATGATCTGTGGAAAATTCAAAATCTGAAAACTTGAACAACGGAATCTCTCTGAAATAAAATGTGCTGTTTTATTACACTAAAAATTGCTGGTGAGATAGAACTTTTCATGAATTGATATTTTTGACGCTTATAAAACTTCTTCGTCTATCCAACAAGTTGTAAATATTAGAAGACATTTTTTATATCGTAACTTTGTAAATTACGGAGAAACTTGATTAAAATATGTTTTATTGGTGTTTACTTTCGTTTCATTCCATAACTAGTTGTATTTATTTCGTATGACACCCGGTCGAGAAATCTGCATTTCAATTGCTGGCACGGCCCCATTTCCATGAGTTGAACGAAGTTCAGTTGAAACTATTCACTCAGTCGAGCCGTCACACAATGCCGGTTACCTGTAAGCCCCGCCCACAATTTTTCTCACCTTGCCCACCACTGAAATTTATTCGTGGCGGTGACACGCAGGACTCAGAAAATTAGCATAGCCTAATTTGATTGGCCGAGAGCGTTTCTGTTTGTTCGCCTTACAATCAATAACCATGTGTTCACCAAAGCATATTAGGCAAAGAAAAAGAGGTGCTTGACTATTGGAGACGTTCTTTTGAAACGCAGAGAAAAGCTGTGGAGATTTATCAATTCTATCTTCTTCTGTTGGACTCGAGTCATATTCATAGGTATTGGACTCCAACAATACCCGGAGTTATAAAGAAGTTTGTGTGGCAGTGTTGGAAGCTACTGTTTATTTACTCGACAAACGTGACTTGTATTACTCGACAAACTCTAATATCGAGTGTTGTGTGTTTGTGACTACCCGAGAATATGGAACAGGACATGTCGAAAGCACAACTACAACAAAGTCTCACGGGGGTACCCGTATCTAACCCGGGTATGGGGCAACCACACCAGGCCCACCAGGGGCACCCACAGAATCATCAGGTACACCAGCCCCACCCCCATCAACCTCACTCACCACCCGAACAAACGAACATTTCTAATGGACAAAGTGGGGGCCTTACAGCTCAACAGAAGAAAGACTTGGATAGGGTTAAACGCCCTATGAACGCTTTTATGGTGTGGTCGCGAGGACAGAGAAGAAAAATGGCTCAAGAAAATCCAAAAATGCACAACTCTGAAATAAGTAAGAGACTCGGAGCTGAATGGAAACTTTTGACGGAAACTGAAAAACGTCCATTTATTGATGAAGCTAAGAGACTCCGTGCTATTCACATGAAGGAACATCCCGATTATAAGTACAGACCACGAAGGAAAACGAAAACTCTGATGAAAAAGGACAAATACGCATTACCCGGTATGCCGACCGGGGCCCCTCTACAGCCCGGACGTGAGGGCGCGGGTATGTATCCGATGAACGGGTACATGCCGAACGGTTACATGATGCACGATCCTAACGCATATCACATGGCAAACCAAATGGGACTTGCCGGACAATATGGTTATCCTAATATGGCCACACAACCGATGCCTTCTAACCAAATGACTACGGGATCATACATGAACGGAACACAGAGTTACACAATGTCAATGGCGTACGGAGCCATGCCACCAACACAAGTCCCCCAATCTTCGATTAAACGGGAACCTCAGACCGGAGGGCCGGGACAGCCCGTCCCCACGGGAGGCCGGAACCCAGGGGATCTACGAGAAATGATCAGTATGTATTTACCAGGGGACACGGGGGACCATCATAGCGCTGCCGCACAGCAAAGACTAATGCATCAATCACATTATCAGCAATCTGCAACGGAAAATAGTACAGTTCCGCTCACTCATATGTAACTTTATCTAATCCACATTCTACACAGTATATATGAAAAAAATCTAAGTGTGTGTGTGTTAAATATTAATATGAACCGATTTTAAATCTATAATCTTCACGAACTTTTACTAGACGTGAATTATGAACTAATATGTCCCCCTTGAATCATCATATAGTTTGACGAATTAACTGTTGATATTTTTTATATGATGATTTGTATGTGAACACACTTTATCCTCTAAGACGGAAATCCTCACTTTTTACTTGTAGGAGGCGATCAGGTACCAGTACACTACGAACACTCTTGGAGGGACTGAGAAAATGGAAACACGATCGTGTGTAGGGAAAGTTTAAAAAAAGTTTAATAAGTTGCTCATCGTTGCGGAGACAGAAGAACAAATGTGGTGATCGCGTGTGAGAAAGTTCGTCTTATTCACTGGGACATATCCTTGAGGAAACATTTCATCAGACAGGAAATCCAATACAATTGTGCTATTTTATCTTTTATGTTAAATATTTGAAGTACAGTAGGATTTGTTTATAAATTTCAATTTGTTGTTTATAACGAGAGTTTTTGCAAACTTCTTTGTGGCATAATATGTTGTATGAGTGTTGATATGTGTTGTACGGAGGGTGTTATAGAATTCGCGAGCAAAAACTTCATAATCATTAAACATATTTATGTTTGCTCATTTTTTTAATTTTAAAAATGAAAACTATTTTTGTAATTATTATTTCTAAATTTTGTACAAATAATTAAGTGTGAAAATTATTACTATTATTTCTACTTAATGCAGTTTTGAACCAAAAGTATTTTTTATTACCATTCAATTTTATAAAATTATAATTGAAGGAAAAGTTAAAAGTTGTTTTGGTATAAACTGCTGATTTACAAGTAGATTTGGTAGCGAGATAAATTATATATATTTCAAAGTTTGAATGTTTAAAAGTGGCTCAGTATTTTCTGTGTAAGGAAATTTAAATTATTAGGATTATTTCCTCCAGAACAAAATATAGAAAATTTTATTACTAGATTTTCATTATCTTTTATTTCAAGCTTTCTATAATTTTGCTAATTTGTAAATATTTATAGAAGAATTATTGACTGTTTATAGAGATGAACAGTTTTGCGCTAAGGCGTGAAAAAAATACAAAATAGAATAAATTAAAAACATGTGAACAAAAATTCAATCTTTCTTTGATTTTTTAGTGATTACTGTTGTTGGTTTTTTTAATACAGAGATATTTTCGTTTTTCTTAAACCATAGCTTTAAAACTATTTCGTAGCCGTTGTTGACGTGTATGTAAACACCATACAGAGCTGAAGTGCTTGGTGTTGACAAATGTCGAGCCTGATTTAAACTGTTTGTTGAGTGAGAACCATCTACTTTAAGTAGCAGTCCTCCTTTTCAGATACTAAAATGGCGTTCAAGTACAGCCAAATTTGTCTAGTTTCGGACGACAGAAAAGTTGCCTAACTATATCACCCACATTTCACACTTTAAACAAAAATGATTATATTTAACACTTGAAGTAATCTTTATATTTTCTCGTGTATTCTGAATTTGATTGACATGTCTGCATTTTTCACTTTCAACAGTCAATACTAGAATCTAACTTCTATTTCGATTTTTTATTTAAACTTCGGTCTCATTACTCATCTGAAATTTGTTTTGTTTTAGAGTTGTGTGGTGTGGTATATATGTAGAAATCATGGTGGCTTTTCAGTCTGTCTGACGGTTCGATCACTTCAATAAATCCATTTACTCATAATGGAGGAGATGGGATAACGCCTTGTCCATTATGTCTGTCCCCTACACACCAATTAATCTAGCCTTAACTGTCATTAACATTAAAACTTAGCTACGGATATGTTGTACACACTCGATTCCTGGTACCAACATGATATAGGGAAGAAATTTACAATAATAAAAACTATAATTTAAACTCAGAAAACTATATATACATAAATGTCGGAAACAATTGTAAGATGTTTATGTAAACTAATATTACTTTTGGAGCAAATTATCTTGAGACTTGAACTTTCTAAAGTACCTTAAACATTTTTTTATAAAGTTTTATTTACGATTTCACCAAGATCTACAGATTTGTTGTAGGACTTACCGACTTTTAAAACTTGCTGATTTATTGGCCAATATTTCTGATTTAGTATACACCATTAAATTCTACTAGGTACAGAACCGTCTATTTAACATCCTTAAGCGAAAACAATACATGGTTTGTCTTGTCCGGACCGGAGTGTCGGTTAAGATCCTGACTTTAGCACAATCCCGCGAAGTAATTAATGGCTGAGCCGCTTTAGAAGTTTATTACGGTATATGGCACCAAAATGTCGTTATCTTAATTTACTTGGCGTGAAACACGTGGTGAAATTCTGTAACTGAGACAAATATGAATGCCGAGTTTTTACGCCGAAAGCAGTAAGGATGAATTAGGCCTGGAATAATTCTCTCCATAAATGTGATGAGGGGGCCTCTGACTTTGATAACAGATCGGTATTAAATCTCGTGTAATCTCGTCAATCATGTTTTGTTTCGTGTAGCGGTTTTCTATTGATAACGGAAACTGTGCTAATCTAAAGCCGATTATAGAAAACTGACCTGAGGACAGCTAGAAAGTCTACCGGATAATGTAATATTGCCAAGAAATAAAATTCTATTCTATTGATTAACTTTTAATTTACATTAAATCATTTATAATATCTTCATCAATTTAAAACGATGAACACATCATAATTGAAAATATTACAAACTTAAAAATTAATTATAAGTCTTAGATATAATCGAGATTTTTTAAAGCTGTACAAGAATTTAACTAGTATTTCCCAACACTGGGTGCAGTAGGTGTGACTCACAATAATGGGAGAGGTTAATTAAGTTGATTCCAAGCCAATTGTACAATTAAATCTTTAAAACCATTCTGATAAAACAGGTTTCTAGAGTTGAAATAATTTTATGTACACATGGAATTGAGGTTACAGTAAAACAAAAGTGCATGAATCACGTACAAGCAGTGGTGTTGACAAGTCGTAAAATTCTACTTGGGAAATAATTTCTTTGTAGAGAAGATGTTTACTATTTTATTGGAGAATGTGCCTCGGATCTCTATATAATGCTAAAATGATTAAAACGTACTTGACACATTCCAAGTATTTTTCTAAACTAGTGATGTTTGGTTTAGAGAAACTTTTCAATTGTTTTATAAAATGAGGATTGAAAGAACAAAGCTATAAACACGTACTTGTGAAAAATATTTCTTTTGATATTTAAACACATAAGAAAAAATCACAAATACAGAGACAGTTAAATTCTATCAACACGACTGTGGTTTCACACGAGGTATTTATGGCGGACAGCGAACTGGTGGAGTTGGTGAAATTTTGGGAGGTAGAAGGCCGTGAGTCAGTCCCCAGGTACATAAACCGGCCAGGTGTAAATCTGGCTCTGAAATTAAACCAGCCATGGGCTTATTCTTTCTCGTGGTCGTTTGCAAGATGTCTGTTTATAATGTCCAAAGCTTGACGGAGAAGGCGGCCCGAGATTCTCCATTTATACGTTTGTGTCGGCTGGTGTTTATTTTAAATTGAAGCCATGTACAACCGGATACCTGTATGGGGAAAAACGACACGGCTACACCAAATCTTAAACAAGTAGAACAACTTTTTATAAATTATATATCGTCATTTTAACGTGACACGCTATAACTACTTCTGTTGGAATATATTACATTAAATATGATACGGATTCTACAGCGATCACTGCTATTAAATCTCCACCACAGGATCGCGACCATATTCAAATTTCTTTAGGATTTTATATTATATATTAGTTGAAAACTCTACCTAGATTATTTAAGGTACGTCCTGGATTAAAGGCGTATTTTATTATTATTTCCACGGATAATGGTCCCGTTCTTGTAAAAACAAAACAAAATTCCTTTTCTGAAGACTGGAATTAAATTTTCAGAATTGTCCAAGCGGTACCCTTAAAGGCATATTCCGTCTACAATTTTCTTAAGCAAGTTGAAACAATTAACTAACATTCGGATTTTGATCCAGAAATTGTCGTTCACCAAACCTATCGCTTTTAAAACCGAGTGGAAGAATTTAAAAAAAAAACCCGAATTGAAAAGTTTGTTTTGGTGATTATTTGTAAAGAAAAAGCACGGTTTGCGAACCTTGTTTATATTTTTGTTTTGAATGCATTCTATTTGACAATACTTTTTTAGAGTGAATAGACCTCGGTACAAGTGTACAGAGTATAAAACCTCACGTGTAATGATAGTGTACAGTGTTAGTGTGCGGTGTACAAAACCTCACGTGTAATGATAGTGTACAGTGTCAGTGTGCGGAGTACAAAACCTCACGTGTAATTATAGTGTACTGTGTCAGTGTGCGGAGTACAAAACCTCACTTGTAATGATAGTGTACAGTGTCAGTGTGCGGAGTACAAAACCTCACGTGTAATGATAGCGTACTGTGTCAGTACACGGAGTACAAAACCTCACGTGTAATGATAGTGTACTGTGTCAGTACACGGAGTACAAAACCTCACGTGTAATGATAGTGTACTGTGTCAGTGTGCGGAGTACAAAACCCTACGTGTAATGATAGTGTACAGTGTCAGTACACGGAGTACAAAACCTCACGTGTAATGATAGCGTACTGTGTCAGTACACGGAGTACAAAACCTCACGTGTAATGATAGTGTATTTTGTCAGTACACGGAGTACAAAACCTCACTTGTAATGATAGTATATTTTGTCAGTACAAGGAGTACAATACCTCACGTGTAATGATAGCGTACTGTGTCAGTACACGGAGTACAAAACCTCACGTGTACTGATGTTGTACTGTGTCTGTACACGGAGTACAAAACCTCACGTGTAATGATGGTGAACTGTGAAACACCAGACTTCACACTTGTGTAGCGATATGTATCACACTTTAATAAGTCCAACAACACATGTAGATTGATACGTGCATGTAATATGTGAAAGGGTTTTATACCAGGCCTTAGAAAACCAGCACTGATACTCAGTTGTGAAAGTTTTTCTTTGATATTGGGGCAACAATATTAGACTCTGTTGATAGCACGTCCAGCTACATCTGGTCCACGAGGGATTTTCAATATGACACTTTAAATTACCCTTAACACAATACTTAATGGGTATTTAGCCCGCCCTGAACATGAATGATCCACAGTTAGAGACGTGATGGAGCCTTAAACACGACACGTAATGGAGCCTTCAACACGTCACGTAATGGAGCCTTCAACACGACACATGATGGAGCCCTCAACACGTCACGTGATGGAGCCTTCAACACGACACATGATTTTCAGCAAAACATGTTATGGATCCTCAGCTCGACACGTGATGGATTCTCAACAAAACATGTCATTTATACTCATCTCGGCACGTGATGGATTCTCGACAAAACATGTCATGGATACTCAGCTCGACACGTGATGGATTCTCAACACAATATGTCATTTATACTCAGCTCGTCACGTGATGGATTCTCGACAAAACATGTCATGGATTGTCATCTCGGCACGTGATGGATTCTCGACATTACATGTTATGTATACTCAGCTCATCACGTGATGGATTCTCAACAAAACATGTCATGGATTCTCATCTCGGCACGTGATGGATTCTCGATATTACATGTCATAGATCCTCATCTCGTCACGTGATGGATTCTCGACATTACATGTTATGTATACTCAGCTCGACACGTGATGGATTCTGAACACAACATGTCATAGATCCTCTGCTCGACACGTGATTGATTCTCAACAAATCTCGCGAAGACTAATCTTTGACAGATTTCAGACAAAATTCAAAAATATTCTTAAATATTAAACCACAAAAAAAAACTCCCACTTTTCCCAGCCATTGAAGTCAGATACCCGCTGTATTTTGCCGGAGATGAAAATATGGTACATCCATTTTTGCTAGCACTGTCATCGTAAAAAATTAATAATTCATCGTAGAAGTCTAAAGTACTGTGCATGACAGCACAGAGGGTTAATTGACCGTGACCACCGTGTAAATGGATATCCAGGCAAAATGGCGGTCATTTAGCAAGAACATAATAATAGGACATGTCAGCTTGTGCATTACTCTGAAGGACGCCCTCAACAACCTGTCGTTAATTGACATAAAACTTCACTACTTTCTGTAGATTCAGTTATAAATATTGGTAATGTTTGGTTTAATTAAAACATACCAATGCATGTACTAGATCCTTTACGAGAAATATAAATATGTATATATATAAACACATACGCGGTATGTCACATTTCAGAAGAAAAGTAAACTTCACTCTTGTGGTTTCAGTAACTTACAATAACAGGAGTAGGGGCGGGGGTGGGAGGGACAAAAACAAAATCAGTAAGGAATTTTTGCTCATTATTATTTATTACTTTTATTTCCTCCTAAATCAACCGATACATGTTTGATTTTGTCCATATCCGTTTTATCTGAATTAAGCACGCCACCCTAATGACCCTCATTAGGGATTGATTTAATCCGCGAGCTGATTACACCTGAAACAAAAGTACAAATTACAGACAGCAGTCGTGGTCAAGAGGTGTAGCGGTGTTAGACCACAGGTCAAAGAAAATATTCATCCAATTTATCAGATGTTTAAAAACCTGTCAGGTAGCTGATCTTACTGGTAATATTTTCAATTTGTTGTAAGATTTTGCTCGAGTTTATCTTCCGAGTGTCGCCGAGAAATTCGTTGTCAGGTACAGCGGCGTATTACTTTTAGCACAGTTTCATGTCGTGTCTTGACACACGGGCCTTAATCACACTGGCTACCTGATATAACGATCAGCCCCGTCAAACGGTAGTCAGGGGCCGTACGGGGGTAATTACATCGTCAAACGGTAGTCAGGGGCCGTACGGGGATAATTACATCGTCAAACAGTAGTCAGGGGCCATACGGGGGTAATAACATCGTCAAACAGTAGCCAGGGGCCGCCCGGGGGGTAATTACATCGTCAAACAGTAGTCAGGGGCCGTACGGGGGTAACTACATCGTCAAACAGTAGTCCGGGGCCGTCCGGGGGTAATTCCATCGTCAAACAGTAGTCAGTGGCCATACGGTGGTAATGATATCGTCAAACAGTATTCAGGGGCCGTACGGGGGTAATTCCATCGTCAAACAGTAGTCAAGGACCGTACGGGGGTTGGGGTGGGGATGGGGGTGGTGGTGGTGGTTACTGTGTCGTAAAACAGTAGCCAACGGCTGTAGGGGGGGGGGGGCGTCAAACGGTAGTCACGGGCCTAAAGGTGCTTGTATTTCATCGTCAAACGATAGTCAGGGGTTATACGGGGGTAATGACATCGTCCAGCATTAATCAATGGGTCTGGAGGGTGAGAGGAGGAGGTAGGGGACCACCCGGGCAAATGGTAGCTTCTGGTTTCGCTAGGCATAGTAAACGTACACAGCTGTAGCAAGGGACACAACAAAGGGTACACCATAGCATACAGCTTAATGAGAGGTAACAAGCCCTTCGAACATTATACAGGACCTTACAAAGTGAACCAGTAGTCAGTACCGGAAACTACTCTGTTAACCTGTATCAAGGTTCTTAAAAGGGGCAATTACTCCGTCAAATTTTATCAGTGCCAGTGTATTATGAAGGGTAATTAATCCGTCAAAATGTTGCAAAGGGCCACACAGGGGTATCTGCTTCATTAACAATAATCAAATAGTCCTAAACAATGGCAAGGAGGTAACTGCTTACATAGTACTAATGTATTGTAAATGGGTGTATGCTCTCCTCCTCCCCCCGCACCTCCTCCTGTCCCTCCCCCTCCTGCCCTTCCCCCTTCTGCCCCTCCTCCTGCCCTTCCTCCTTCTGCCCCCTCCTCCTGCCCCTCCTCCTTCTGCTCCCCCTCCTCCTTCTGCTCCTCCTGCCCCTCCTCCTCCTTCCGCTCCTCCTGCCCCTCCTCCTTCTGCCCCTCCTCCTTCTGCCCCTCCTCCTCCTTCTGCTCCTCCTGCCACTCTTCCTCCTTCTGCTCCTCCTCCTTCTGCTGCTCCTCCTCCTCCTTCTGCTCCTCCTGCCCCTCCTCCTTCTGCCCCTCCTCCTTCTGCCCCTCCTCCTCCTTCTGCTCCTCCTCCTGCCCCTCCTCCTTCTGCCCCTCCTCCTTCTGCCCCTCCTCCTCCTTCTGCTGCTCCTGCCACTCTTCCTCCTTCTGCTCCTCCTCCTTCTGCTGCTGCTCCTCCTCCTTCTGCTCCTCCTGCCCCTCCTCCTCCTGCCCCTCCTCCTTCTGCCCCTCCTTCTCCTGCCCCTCCTCCTTCTGCCCCTCCTCCTTCTGCCCCTCCTCCTCCTTCTGCTCCTCCTGCCACTCTTCCTCCTTCTGCTCCTCCTCCTTCTGCTGCTCCTCCTCCTCCTTGCTCCTCCTGCCCCTCCTCCTGCCCCTCCTCCTTCTGCCCCTCCTCCTTCTGCCCCTCCTCCTCCTTCTGCCCCTCCTCCTCCTTCTGCCCCTCCTCCTCCTTCTGCTCCTCCTGCCACTCTTCCTCCTTCTGCTCCTCCTCCTTCTGCTGCTCCTCCTCCTCCTTCTGCTCCTCCTGCCCCTCCTCCTCCTGCCCCTCCTCCTTCTGCCCCTCCTCCTCCTTCTGCCCCTCCTGCCCCTCCTCCTTCTGCCCCTCCTCCTCCTTCTGCCCCCTCCTCCTTCTGCCCCCTCCTCCTCATTCTGCCCCTCCTCCTACTTCTGCTCCTCCTGCTCCTCCTCCTTCTGCTCCTCTGCCCCTCCTCCTTCTGCTCCTCCTCCTCCTTCTGCCCCTCCTCCTTCTGCTCCTCCTCCTCCTTCTGCCCCTCCTCCCCTCCTCCTTCTGTTCCTCCTCCTCCTTCTGCCCCTCCTCCCCCTCCTCCTCCTTCTGTTCCTCCTCCTCCTTCTGCTCCTCCTGCCCCTCCTCCTTCTGCCCCCTCCTCCTCATTCTGCCCCTCCTCCTACTTCTGCTCCTCCTGCTCCTCCTCCTTCTGCTCCTCCTGCCCCTCCTCCTTCTGCTCCTCCTCCTCCTTCTGCCCCTCCTCCTTCTGCTCCTCCTCCTCCTTCTGCCCCTCCTGCCCCTCCTCCTTCTGTTCCTCCTCCTCCTTCTGCCCCTCCTCCCCCTCCTCCTCCTTCTGTTCCTCCTCCTCCTACTGCTCCTCCTGCCACTCTTCCTCCTCCTGCCCCTCCTCCTCCTTCTGCCCCTCCTGCCCCTCCTCCTTCTGTTCCTCCTCCTCCTTCTGCCCCTCCTCCCCCTCCTCCTCCTTCTGTTCCTCCTCCTCCTACTGCTCCTCCTGCCACTCTTCCTCCTCCTGCCCCTCCTCCTCCTCCTTCTGCTCCTCCTGCCCCTCCTCCTTCTGCCCCTCCTCCTCCTTCTGCCCCCTCCTCCTTCTGCCCCCTCCTCCTCATTCTGCCCCTCCTCCTACTTCTGCTCCTCCTGCCCCTCCTCCTTCTGCTCCTCCTGCCCCTGCTCCTTCGGCCACTCCTCCTCCTTCTGCCCCTCCTCCTTCTGCCCCTCCTCCTACTTCTTCCCCTCCTCCTCCTTCTGCCCCCTCCTCCTCCTTCTGCCCCTCCTCCTCCTTCTGCCCCCTCCTCCTCCTTCTGCCCCTCCTCCTCCTTCTGCTCCTCCTGCCCCTCCTCCTTCTGCTCCTCCTGCCCCTCCTCCTTGTTTTCCTCCTCCTCCTTCTGCCCCTCCTCCTTCTCCTTTTAAAATTGACATCAATGGAATCAATCATACTGAAGTAAAAAAACACGTTTATAACTCAGACATATAATGTCCTACTACCGCGGTACTAACAGGATACCAGATGGCTGTTAAATACCTGAAGAATATGATCTAGTGAGGAAGGGTTGATGCCAGCCATGTTGAACGAGCATGTTTGAAAATCCTAACATAGGTGTTACATGACAAATACGAGCACGTGCTTTTTCTGAAATCGAGTTGATTAAAATCCATCTTCTAATATTTACACGGAGTGGAAATATTTCCAGCAAGTGATGTGTAGCTTCAGGTGAAGCTCTGTAAACACAGTATCGTACCTGGCCAGATCTCGTGTTTGTCAAACAATCTTACTCCACATGATAGCGGTGAATATGACGAACTTGTGTCGGCACCTGCTTTACTATATTTGTAGATTTTGAACATCACGTGCACGACCTAGTTTCAAGACATCTGCCATTTAAAAATACATGCGCCTCCGTTAGTATATATGTCGAAGCGCGTAAATTGATGTATTTATTGCGGGGAGGACAAAACTAGATCGAAAAAACTTGAGAGGAAACTAAGACTAGAAGTATAGTCTGTTACGGACTTCATTGTTTAGCTCCTAGAATTGTTCATTTTATTTTTCATGTTAATTTTCTCTATCGTATTTGTTTTAGGCGAAGATACATAAGATCGACGTCAGTAAGAAAAGGGTTGATGACTGGTGCAGCAATTTCTTGATACGTCTTTCATAGAAAATGGTAAGATGACTTTTTTAAAGTAAATTAAAATCATCTTTTTTCCCACGTAAATCTGCGTTTATTTCAAAGAAAACAAGTTTTACACTTCAACTGGAGAAGTGCTAACATCCAATCGATGCCCATGACGTAACATCAACATCAACCAACCCTCATGACGTAACACCAACATCAACCAATCCCATGACGTAACACCAACATCGACCAACACCCATGACGTAGCACCAACATCAACCAACCCTCATGACGTAGCACCAACATCAACCAATCCCATGACGTAACACCAACATCAACCAACCCTCATGACGTAACACCAACATCAACCAATCCCATCACGTAACACCAACATCAACAAACACCCATGACGTAGCACCAACATCAGCCAACCCTCATGACGTAACACCAACATCAACCAATCCCATGACGTAACACCAACATCAACCAACACCCATGACGTAGCACCAACATCAACCAACCCTCATGACGTAGCACCAACATCAACCAATCCCATGACGTAACACCAACATCAACCAACACCCATGACGTAGCACCAACATCAACCAACCCTCATGACGTAGCACCAACATCAACCAACCCTCATGACGTAGCACCAACATCAACCAACCCCGTGACGTAACACCAACATCAACCAACCCTCATGACGTAACACCAACATCAACCAACCCCACGACGTAACACCAATATCAACCAATCCCCGTGACGTAGCACCAACATCAACCAACCCTCATGACGTAGCACCAACATCAACCAACCCCATGACGTAACACCAACATCAACCAATCCCATGACGTAACACCAACATCAACCAACCCCATGACGTAACATCAACCAATCCCATGACGTAACACCAACATCAACCAACACCCATGACGTAACACCAACATCAACCAATCCCATGACGTAACACCAACATCAACCAACACCCATGATGTAGCACCAACATCAACCAATCCCCGTGACGTAACACCAACATCAACCAATTTCATGACGTAACAACACCACTATCAATTCATTTGACCAGTAACGTAGATATATACGTCCCAGCTATGACGTAACACCACCACTATCAATTCATTTGACCAGTAACGTAGACATATACGTCCCAGCTATGACGTAACACCATCACTATCAATTCCTTTGACCAGTAACGTAGATATATACGTCCCAGCTATGAGGTAACACCAACACTAACAAATCCCATGACGTAACACCACCACTATCAATTCATTTGACCAGTAACGTAGATATATACGTCCCAGCTATGACGTAACACCAACACCAACAAATCCCATGACGTAACACCACCACTATCAATTCCTTGATCAGTAACGTAGATATATACGTCCCAGCTATGATGTAACACCAACACTAACAAATCCCATGATGTTGCACCTAATCCAAACATACATGTGTGGTTTGGGCAGGTCCTTGATATGAAATTAGAAATTATACCGAGGAAAAACTTCTGAGGGTATACATGTTTTGGCCTTTAATCAGACAGTTTTATTAAATCGGCTTGTTTTGCTGCAAAAATCCTACACATGTTGAGTCTCGAGTCAATCTGTTAATCTATATTCGCTTTTACACGGTTATAATTTCACGTGCACGTGTGTGTTCTACAATTAAAATATCATGATAACGTGTTTTTTGTTTTTGTTTCATCACGGCGTGAAATAGATAATGTCACTTACACCCGTCCCAAAGGACGGAAAAAACCTAGACTCATATTTAACAATCCACAGGGTATCCGCACACAGATCTCAATTCTAATTAAATATTTAAAACAAAATTGTCTGTTTAATGGTATGGAGGTCGCGGGGGTATTACGAGTGATTACAGATCCCAAAGCGGGGAAGGTAGCACCGAAATACAACCCCAAGGAGTACCACACTCACCTATGTATTGTTTGGGAAAGCACTCAAGAAAACACGTAAATCACGTGAACGTGTTCGTCCTAAGTATCCATGGCTGTTTAGGATAAGTTATCAAATGACATGATTCATTTAAAATATCGTACGAATAATCATAAATAAATGAATATATTTCAAGTGTTGAAGTTTTGTTGATGTGAAATGTGACATAATGTAAACGTTAAATTAAAATGTATGATTTTACACGCATCGGATATAACCGTTTAATATTTATTGAAATTAAAAAGACGGTTCACCCTAGCGTGACTACAAACCCGTCCCAGACTTTTATCTGGTAATGTAAACGGGATTTTTTTGTTTCATGTCAGGACTTTCGGAGATCGATTTTAAAAGCTGATCCGAGACTCGGTGACTGTCAGTATGTTTAAAAATGTATATGCTCGTGTTATTATAGACACGGTTGACTTAACCTTCCTGAATTACTCAGTCTTGTACCGTTATAACAGGATTAATGTACGCACTTCACTCGCTTATTAGACTGCTGAAAATATTATTTTCCAAACCTCTAATTTAGATTATGAAACACACCTGATTGTGTTTTACTTGCTCTGCAGGATTGTGACGTCAGAAAACATATACTGAGTAAATACAGGACACGGGAAAACGACTTAAAATAAAAAGAATTAAACGCAAGAGGCAGCCTTCCAATATTTCTCACGATGTCATGTTACCCGAAAGGATAAAAAATGATAGGATAAGCGAGTATGTGTTCATGGTAAATGTCTCGACATACATACATACATACATACATACATACATACATACATACATACATACATACATACATACATACACATACATACATACATACATACATACATACATACATACATACATACATACACATACATACATACATACATACATACATACACATACATACATACATACATACATACATACATACATACATACATACATACATACATACATACATACATACATACATAGACATGCGCACATGTGGAAATAGGCGCTCACCTCCGAAACAATTTAGTGATAGTACGCATGCGCACACCTATACTATTTGATTAATTTTAAATGATGATTCATTTAAGGAATTTGTCAATTTTTGACGTCATTGCCAGATCAATCTATATGACGTAATTAAATACAATTCAATTTCAAGAAAGCTCCGGGTTATTTCCGGTTAGCTACATAACAATAGAAAAATATATGTAAATTAGTTTGGAATGGTAGATTACACAATGGAATTACAATACAACAATACCACACTGTGCCCTTTATATCAGAACCGCAGTTACTGTCGAATTCATAACTTTATATTCAATTTGAAATTGTGTGATGAATTATGAATTTCTAACAACTTTTAGACAATATTTTCTTTTCACCAAAAATATACCACATACCGATCTACTTTCATGATTTAAATGATAATATTCTTAAAGTTTAAAGCAACTATTGACATTTAGCTATTGGGTGAGATATATCCCTGAAGACAGAATGTTCTCAAATGATTGTGTTTAGTCTGCCAGACATATTATGTGTAGAACACAAAGTACAGTACCATCAACACAATGACAGATATACAAATCCATATCAACTTATCTAATGGACAATTAACACAGTTATATGATAATTAAGTTAAAATTCCATAAATATAATTCGTTCATACTTTTACAATCTATAACAGATATATGTATATGTTTTCCTGGGTTCCTTCAAGCAGCTAGAAAGTCATTATATATATAAGTATTAAAGTAAGTAACCTTCAGTCTGTAAGCACGTCCATTATTGAAAATGACCTCTTGTACCTGAGTGAATAAATGAACTTTGAACTTTTAACCCGGAAATGTATATGGAAGTTTGTTTCGTCCTTCTTTGTTGATAACAATTATGATGACGTCAGTGTCACATCATGTCATCATAATGTATTCCTAGATTTTGCATGACATTGTTGGTTTCTGTCTGATTTTAAATGTACATTGTGTAACCCTGGTAAAACACTAGACGCAATATATATAGAGAGAGAAC